TGCCTCACACATTCACCCCTTTCTTCATGCCATCCAAACCTTGACCTGCCTCTTGGTCTACTACCCCCAGTGCAACTATTCATCACTCTCTTCGTTAATCTCTCTTCCTCCGCTCTCGGCATGTGTCCATACCTTCTCAGTAAATACATTCCTCATTCTATCCATCCCCGTCACACCCATCATACTTCCCAAGCATCTCATACCCTTTGTTTCCGCACCAAACAAGTCGACACAACCATCCTCTCATACAAACACTTCTTCACTCTTACATTTACGTTCTCACTTCTCACCACTCTATTTACAAAAACCGTACCGTCCTCAGTTATCATAACAAACACACTGAATATAATACTGAGTCACAGTGTCATAGATCATTACTGTACAGCTGTCAGAAGCTCGTTCCACCCCGATGCCATCTTTGTTCTGAGTCCAGCCCCTCAGCCTCACACAACCATGCTCCTGCTGCGTCATTCCCTTCAGCCCGCCCCCCAAGCACAAGACTGCTCTGTGATTGGTCAGTTGACTTGTACTTCCATCAACAGCTGGGTTTACGCCAGTGGGGGCGGGTCCCGGCTCCAAAAGGTCCACTCCTCACTCACTCCTTGCCGGTGGGGTGTACCCGGAAACAGAATTACCTAATGGGGTAGGGTTGGGGGTCACGTATTTTTTCCTCTCAAAAACGGCTTTACAGGATGGTCTAAAAGTTGCCTCTTGGCCAAACGCTACGTTCCAGATGCTGTCAATATTGTGGGGAGTTTTTTTGGACCAGTCTAGTTTAGCCGCTGTGGACTTTTGAGTGCACCAGTAAAATGAATGGGGCTCAAGCAGCTAACGCATGCGCAAATGCGTCTTTTCACATTTGCCTGTGGCCATTTTGAATAAGACGGCAGAAAGGAAAAGTGATTACACATAAGTCCGTTATTATTTACGGCTTATAGTTTATGCACATATTGGCACAATTTGTTTAAGTTGGACCAGGGCATGAACATTTATTAATAATAATAAATCAGTTTTATGTAACGTTTTTTTGGACACACAAAGATACTTCACATGCCATTATTCCAAACACAGTGGTGATAAACTACTGTGGCCACAGCTGCCCTGGGGGACACTGACAGAGGCAAGGATATCAGTCTGTGCCATCGGATCCTCCTACCACTAACCATTCACACACACACACACACACACACACACACACACACACACACACATTAGGCAAAGTGGGTAAAGTGTCTTGCCTAAGGACACAACCACAGTTTGGCACTTTACAGCCGCCCCACTGTGGCACCTAGAGGTCTCTCAGAGGTCTCCCATCACAGTAATAACCAGGCCCTGCTCTGCTTAGCTTCAGAGTTCTGACGGGATCTGTCATTCACAGGTATGGCCATATTTATTGAGTGTGCGCGCCGTAAACTGTAATCAGACCTAAGCACACGGCTCTGGAGCGGCGGGACAGGGACAGGACGGGCTGGACATGTGCAGACTGTTATTAGAGGAGCTTGTCTCAGTGAGTGTGTCGTAAACTGTAATCAGGGCTGCAGATAAGCACAGACACTCAGAGATGCTCACAGACAACGGACAGTGAAGGGACACGAATAATACAGAACTACTACATTCCACCAGTGTCGAGTTTAAAGGAGACGTATAATGAGATAAGATACACCTTTATTTGTCCCTTAGTGGTAATTTCAATTTCACAGTTGCAAACGTTACAGCAGGAAATGGAGAAATAAGTCCTTAAAAGCTATCGTTGTGCAGGAGACTATACATAGTTCCCACAGACCAATGAATGTCACATGACCTCCTCGGAGACGCCATCTTTGATGGCACGCTGCTGTGTTTGTGCATTCCATTAAACAGAAGAATGAGAATAAATGTAGATATTCAAACGCAAATTGGAAAAAAAGGGCAACTTTTGAGCAAATAATTGTATATTAATACAATGGCACCACAGTTTAACGTGCTACGGACATGTTTTACATATTTGATCAAATTATGCAGCAAAAATTAACAAGCAATGCAAACATTTCTCAAAAACTTTAGATTTAATACCAGTTGGAGCTCCATTTAATTATTTTAATTATATTAACAATTAATTTAATTAATGCTAATGCCACACGGACACTCTGGATTGCTGTTATTGTTTATTTCCGCGTTTTTGACCGTATGTTTTGGTGAATGGTGGGCAACTGATTTTTCCAGGCGTAAAGAGCAGTTTATTTTATGACACAGATCTTTTTACAGAAGCAATGCTGTTTGTGAACATTGTTTTAGCCCACCATAGAACTATTATTATCTATTTAATACATTTACGTTGCCCTCGAGAGCCTCGGACGCGACACCGATCCTCCTCATAATAAAGTAATCTAAATAATGAAACTCTCAAGTTACCAGATATCAGCATACACAAGTTAGTACTGAGTAAATTACGTCTGTCAACACATTATGAGATACGATACGCACCTGACACAAAGTGCTCCGAGCATATTCTTGCGTGTTTTGAGGGAGTTTCTTGCCTGTTTATCTTCGCAAGCCATAACCTCTGTGGTTGTTCTGACAAAAGCTTAGTCTTCTCACATTCATGAAGTCTAATGATGGGTATACTGTAAATTCCAAGTTTAACGGAACCTCCGGCACGATTTGAACATCCATTGACCAAGCAGGAGATGACCATTTTCAACTTTATCACGACATTAACACGTTTCAGCTTCTTTTTCTATTGTTTTGCCCACAGCATGCCAACACAAATGGCGCCGGGTCGGCAAATCCCCGTATGTAGTGACGTCATGTGGGAACTATGTATATGATCTCAACGCTAGATGCAAATAAAAACTCCAAAGTGCACCTTTAAGCTTCCAGAATAGCACACAGAGCTGGTATTACGTCTTTGAAATGGCTTGTGGGACAAATAACTGATGGTCATGCTAAAAGTTAGCAAGCTAGTGGTCCGCTCCTGTGTGTTTAAAGCAATTATTGACTTTCTGTCTCATTTACAATTTGTACATTTTTTTTAAAGGGCCTAATAGCCCTACGTGACCAGTAGACCCACGTGAAAAGAAGTGAACTAGATAAATATATCCTGGCTCGTCTTCACTGCGGGACAAACATGATCTCGGGACAAACGGGACAAACATGATCTCAAACATTACCAACAGAACAGAACCAATTTGTCAAATTTAGGCAAGGTTTCTCGCCCCAAGGTTTGGTTAAAGGTTGGCACCCCCGTTCTAATGAATTAATGAACATGAGGACTGCCATAATTGTGAAACTACTTAGTAGTTTCCCACACATAGACTAATCTGTGGCGCACCGCCACAGATTAGAGACCGCCCGCCACAAATTGCGTTTCGTATTATTATATATATTTTTTTTTGTTACGCTATTTAAAACATGCATCGTCTAGTGCCGCCGCAGCGGTCAATTTGACAGCGGGGAGGGGGGTTTAAAATGTGGCGGCCCTTCGTAACTCTCACTCAAGCTACGCGTCTCTCCCACATACAGAGACCTACACACACACAGCCCCTCCCCTTCGTGCACACCGCGTGTCTCCGTCTCCATCAGCGATCATCGCTGTAAGCAGCTGTGTCTATTAATTTACCGCGGTAAAGTGGCCCGCATCTTTCAGCTCTATGAACATGCGGCCCGCATCGGGGAAAAGACGGTGCGCGTTTTGTTGAGAACTTACGGTAACAGCGGAACGTCCTTTCGGAGTCACCCATTTTTATCGAACAGAAAGCGCGCTGGGGTCTGGGAGACACGTTTTTGTGATTAAAACCTTATAGAGATGCCACCCGGCACACATAGCACCAGCCCCCTACGATTCCTCCTGCAGATTGTGAGTCCTCAGGAGGATAGCCACTCTATTGTTTACATGTATAAAGTACACAATTTGGTCCGCTAGTGCAATTTTCAAGTATTGTAACTATTTACTGGAATAAGGTGTGCGACTAATTTCACTTGACTCATGACCTTATTATTGCCCTCTGCCACTGTACCAAAGACCAGAAACTTTTACTGTAGAAATATTGAGAAATATTGAGGTAAAGTAGCCATTTTGGTCCAAAATACCTCCAAAATAGTCAAAACATGTCACTTTTGATCTACTGTAACTTTTTACTGTAAAAAGGTGTGCGACTAATTTCACTGGATTCATGACCTCAAGATTGTCCTCTACCACTGTACCAAAGACCAGACACTTTTACTGTAGAAATATTGAGAAATATTGATTTAAAGTAGCCATTTTGGTCCAAAATAGCCTAAAAATGGTCAAAACATGTCACATTTGATCTACTGTAACTTTTCACTGTAAAAAGGTGTGCGACTAATTTCACTGGATTCATGACCTCAACATTGCCTTCTACCACTGTACCAAAGACCAGACACTTTTACTGTAGAAATATTGAGAAATATTGAGGTAAAGTAGCCATTTTGGTCCAAAATACCTCCAAAATAGTCAAAACATGTCACTTTTGATCTACTGTAACTTTTTACTGTAAAAAGGTGTGCGACTAATTTCACTGGATTCACGACCTCATGATTGCCCTCTACCACTGTACCAAAGACCAGACACTTTTACTGTAGAAATATTGATTTAAAGCAGCCATTTTGGTCCAAAATAGCCTAAAAATTGTCAAAACATGTCACTTTTGATCTGCTGTAACTTATTACTGTAAAAAGGTGTGCGACTAATTTCACTGGATTCATGACCTCAAGATTGTCCTCTACCACTGTACCACTGTACCCCACTCCCCCCCCCCCCCCCCCCGTCGACGACCACCACACATTGCCTTCAAACCTGTGGGAAACACTGTACTATAATTCCAAGGACCGTCATTATTCAAAACTGGGAACTGACAGAAAGAGAAAAAGTCATGAAGACCAAAAATGTATACACTGAGTAACAATACTAAACTATGGTTAAGGGACTCTTTTGAAACATTGTTCCAGACCGGGAGTTATTTTAGTATCAGGAACTGTCTCTCTTCTGTTACTCGCAGACGATGACGTGTGAACAGTTGTTTTATGCCTCCAAATAAGTCAAATAAGTTTAAACAATGTCTCTCTCTTGACGAGCACAGGCCATGTTCAACTACACCATGCCATGTTGGATTGGGATTAAAATCTTCTAGAATGTCATTTCCCCACCAACACAATGTACATTTTTACCTTATTGTTGACAATATGAGATGGTGAAAAGCAGCAGAGCCTCCCCCTGTGGCTGTGACCTGAGCTCCGGGCCCCCAGCAGAGAAAACATGGCTGACCTTTTCATCGCTCTGCAAACACCTCCATGACCTCCATGCTATGCTACGCTACGCTAATGGCCAACAAAAACACACAGCAGTGAGCTTGTAAATAAGTTGTTCAAAGTATCTCTGACCACTTGACACTCCATTGTTTCACAAATGTTTTAAACCTGGGGTACCTAGCTTTTGTCTCATAAAGAACACGTGTTGTTTGTCTAAGCAACAAGATTCATTTAAAAGTAGAATGTTGTGAACAAATTAGTATCTATCCAATGAGAAATTGGTCTAAGTAACCGGATGTACCTCACACATCTGGGTATTTAGACCAATGAGAATCTTAGATTAGCGGTTAGCAGCTGTGTTACCTCTCTTAGACAAGTGTTTACTAGGAGTGAGAATGGGTAAAAAATAGTCAGTAAGTACCTTATTTATATAGCGCATTTTTACAGACCAAAGTCACCCAAAGCGCTTTACAATGTTCAGAGTTCAGATATTGTTCCATTTACTCCACACAGTGAGGATGGAAGTGAGACCAGAACACACTGGACCATTAAAGCCTCTTACCAACACCATCCATTCACTCACTCCTTACATTCAGATCTATTGTGCATGTTTTTAGTGGTAGGAAACCGGAGCACCCGAAGGCAACCTACGGGTTGGGGAGAACATGCAAACCCCACCCAGAAAGGCCCTGTTCCGACCAGGATTTGAACCCAGGACCTTCTTACTGAGAATCGAGAGTGCTATCCACTCAGCCACTGTTGGGCCACAAGTCAATATTATTGCACATTAACTAAACAGTTATTGCATTTTGTTATTATTGTTAGCGATCTTTAGAAAAATCTATTTATTTGTTTTGTTTGTGTGGACGAATGTGTTTCTGCTGCTACAGGACACCTGAATTTCTCCTACGGGGGAACAATAAAGTATCTATCCATCCATCCAGACATCTATCCAGACATCTATCTAGACATCTATCTAGACATCTATCCAAACATCTATCCAGACATCTATCCAGACATCTATCCAGACATCTATCTAGACATCTATCCAGACATCTATCTAGATATCTATCCAAACATCTATCCAGACATCTATCTAGACATCTATCCAGACATCTATCTAGACATCTATCCAAACATCTATCCAAACATCTATCCAGACATCTATCCAGACATCTATCCAGACATCTATCTAGACATCTATCTAGACATCTATCCAAAGATCTATCCAGACTTCTATCCAAACATCTATCCAGACATCTATCTAGACAACAATCCACACATCTATCCAGACATCTATCCAAACATCTATCCAGACATCTATCCAGACATCTATCTAGACATCTATCCAGACATCTATCCAGACATCTATCCAAACATCTATCCAGACATCTATCTAGACATCTATCTAGACATCTATCCAAACATCTATCTAGATATCTATCCAAATATCTATCCAGACATCTATCCAGATATCTATCCAGATATCTATCCAGACATCTATCTAGACATCTATCCAAACATCTATCCAGACATCTATCCAAACATCTATCCAGACATCTATCTAGACATCTATCCAGACATCTATCCAAACATCTATCCAGACATCTATATAGACATCTATCCAGACATCTATATAGACATCTATCCAGACATCTATCCAGACATCTATCCAGACATCTATCCAAACATCTATCCAGACATATATCTAGACATCTATCTAGACATCTATCCAAACATCTATCCAGACATCTATCCAAACATCTATCCAGACATCTATCCAGACATCTATCTAGACATCTATCTAGACATCTATCCAGACATCTATCCAGACATCTATCCAAACATCTATCCAGACATATATCTAGACATCTATCTAGACATCTATCCAAACATCTATCCAGACATCTATCCAGACATCTATCCAAACATCTATCCAGACATCTATCCAGACATCTATCTAGACATCTATCCAGACATCTATCCAGACATTTATCCAGACATATATCCAGAAATCTATCTAGACATCTATCTAGACATCTATCCAGACATCTTTCCAGACATCTATCTAGACATCTATCCAGACATCTATCTAGACATCTATCCAGACATCTTTCCAGACATCTATCTAGACATCTATCCAGACATCTATCTAGACATCTATCTAGACATCTATCTAGAAATCTATCCAGACATCTATCTAGACATCTATCCAGACATCTATCCAGACATTTATCCAGACATATATCCAGACATCTATCCAGACATCTATCTAGACATCTATCCAGACATCTATCTAGACATTTATCCAGACATATATCCAGACATCTATCTAGACATCTATCCAGACATCTTTCCAGACATCTATCTAGACATCTATCCAGACATCTATCTAGACATATATCTAGACATCTATCCAGACATCTATCTAGACATCTATCCAGACATCTATCCAGACATCTATCTAGACATCTATCCAGACATCTATCTAGACATCTATCCAGACATTTATCCAGACATCTATCCAGATATCTATCCAGACATCTATCTATCCAGACATCTATCCAGACATCTATCTAGACATCTATCTATCCAGACATCTATCTAGACATCTATCCAAACATCTATCTAGACATCTATCCAGACATCTATCTAGACATCTATCCAGACATCTATCTAGACATCTATCCAGACATCTATCCAGACATCTATCTAGACATCTATCCAGACATCTATCCAGACATCTATCCAAACATCTATCCAGACATCTATCTAGACATCTATCTAGACATCTATCCAAACATCTATCTAGACATCTATCCAGACATCTATCCAAACATCTATCCAGACATCTATCTAGACATCTATCTAGACATTTATCCAAACATCTATCCAGACATCTATCCAAACATCTATCCAGACATCTATCCAGACATCTATCCAAACATCTTTCCAGACATCTATCCAGACATCTATCCAGACATCTATCCAAACATCTATCCAGACATCTATCTAGACATCTATCTAGACATCTATCCACACATCTATTCACACATCTATCCAGACATCTATCCAAACATCTATCCAGACATCTATCCAAACATCTATCCAGACATATATCCAGACATCTATCTAGACATCTATCCAGACATCTATCCAGACATCTATCTAGACATCTATCGAGACATCTTTCCAGACATCTATCTAGACATCTATCCAGACATCTATCTAGACATCTATCTAGACATCTATCCAGACATCTATCCAGAGATCTATCTAGACATCTATCCAGACATCTATCCAGACATTTATCCAGACATATATCCAGACATCTATCTAGACATCTATCCAGACATCTATCTAGACATCTATCCAGACATCTATCCAGACATTTATCCAGACATATATCCAGACATCTATCTAGACATCTATCCAGACATCTTTCCAGACATCTATCTAGACATCTATCCAGACATCTATCTAGACATCTATCCAGACATCTATCCAGACATCTATCTAGACATCTATCCAGACATATATCCAGACATCTATCTAGACATCTATCCAGACATCTATCTAGACATCTATCCAGACATCTATCCAGACATTTATCCAGACATATATCCAGACATCTATCTAGACATCTATCCAGACATCTTTCCAGACATCTATCTAGACATCTATCCAGACATCTATCTAGACATCTATCTAGACATCTATCCAGACATCTATCTAGACATCTATCCAGACATCTATCCAGACATCTATCCAGACATCTATCTAGACATCTATCTATCCAGACATCTATCTATCCAGACATCTATCTAGACCTCTATCCAGACATCTATCCAGACATCTATCTAGACATCTATCTATCTAGACATCTATCCAGACATCTATCTAGACATCTATCTATCTAGACATCTCACATGAATGGTGAGCTCCCAGCACATGACTTAGAATATTCAGAGATAATAGACCAGAGTGAAAAAACTCATAACAAAGTAACACATATTGAACAGAATAGATTTGTTCCCCCATCACTAGTAGGTATTCCGAACAATCAATAATATCAAATAGGACCCAATAATATGAGGATGAAAGCAAATCATGAAATACTTGGCAGCAAAATGGGACTTTGGAAATTTCCCCCAAATTGTCTCGCCCGAGTGATTACCGGGAGCTTTCCACAATCACAAGATTATATTTGCACTTCTGGCAGTACTGCTGGTCTTCCTCCAACACCGCAGCATCTAATTCTGCCAAAACTTTGAAGAAGAGCTGCTCCAAACATGTTCAGACTTCACCAGACACCATGCATCCAGGTTCTGTGACTTGGGATTGATCCCCCTCCCATCCGGGTCCCGGGGGATCTCAATAACGGGGGAACTTTGCAATTATCAGATGCATTATATATTTTTGGATAAACGCCAATCAATAATAACTCTTTAACTACAAAGGATATTAGCTCGTGGCAGAGGCAGATTTCCAAGAGTAAAAAGTCCCACACAGGATATCAGTCCAGGAAATACCCATGCCGTGACCTTTCCAAAACAATTCCCCTTAAAAGACTGGAAACGCCTGTCACATCCTCGTTCCATTTTGTTCAGAAACGCAGACTGTTCTTTTACCCATTTCTACCAATGACATGATTATGTGTTTTTATGCTGGAATTAGTAGGGACACACATTTTTCTTGAGTCAATCTTAAAACTATACTTATCCTAAAGAGAAATCACTTATTGAGCCACAAAATTACTTACATAAATAGTTGACAAGTACTGATTAAACTAGTACTATTACTAGTGAGTGTTGAGTTACAGCAGTTCCTCAAAGACGCACTGTGGCAGAGTAATCGTCATCTGCGTTTAACATTGACATTAAGTCCTAAGTGTCTCTGAAACAGTTGTTGTTTTGTGCTTTACAATTGTTATTTTTCTTGCTTTTTTCTACCTATGATGTTGCTGCAGTACAGTGTCCATGGTTTTACACTGGTCCAGACCAGAGCAGAGAGGATTCATGGTCCGAACCAAGCGGATCAGGCGTAAATCAGTGTGTGAATGCTAACTTTTTTGAAAAATGCTAATGAAGCATTCAATAATGGACCAGAGCAGAGAAAATGGTCCGAACCAAGCGGCTCCACCACCTCTGCTGCTGTGACCAGAAGGACTGTTGCTGATTATTACTATTGTTAGCTTTTTAGAATGATCAATTTGTTGATGGATGTGTTTTTGCTGATTCTGGACACCTGAATTTCTTCTACGGGATCAATAAAGTATCTATCTATCTATCTATTTTCTTTGCTCAAACCATAATTTTACTTTAACTGTTTCAAATTCATCTTGAACATCAGTAACGCAGAAGATTTTCCTACCTGCGTGACGGCCTGGTTCTTCCTTTGGCAGGACCACACGACCAGACAAAGTCCCATTGGTGCTCCTACAGTCGGGCGGAGACTGGGAGAAGGAGGCAATCCTCTGGAGAATGGATCCCACACTGTCCTTGAGCTCGTCCGACTCTGAGCTTGCTGGACCGCCTGGGACTGATCCACCGTCCAGCAGTCCCACCTGCGGCCCCGACAGAAGCTGCAAGCATGGGGTCTGAGCCGGAGACAGAGGCACGGGACAGGGGCTGACTCGGGGAACTCGCATTGGGCCCGGGGGTGTCACTGGAGTGTCTGAACTGTCCAGGCTGCTCAGGGAGGCCGAGGAACTAGCACTGGCTCTGGGGGAGGGCGTCACGATACGGTCCAGGTCGAGAGGGAACTTGTTCAGCTGTGGCGTTTTCCTGTGACAGGCCGGGGTCGCTGGCTTTTGATTGTGATTGTCGAATGTGCGGTGATCGTCTCCAAAGCCGTTGTTGTTTCTGTATCGACTGTTCCAGTTGCCGTTGGCGAACTGGAATCCTCCATTCTTGCCCATCGTGGTCCTGAAGCTTCCGTTGGGACTGTTCTGGTCTGCAATGGCCTTGGACTCAGCAGAGACAGGACTTTGCGATTCTACGAACGATTTGGACACACTGGAGAAAGGACTGCTGGATTCTATGAACGCTTTGGACTCTGCAGCGAAAGGACTTTGTGATTCTGCGAACATTTTGGATTCTGTAGAGAAGGGATTGTGGGATTTTACAAAAGCTTTGGACTCCACAGAGAAAGGACTTTGAGACAGTACGAAATCTTTGGACCCTGAAGAGAAAGGACTGTGCAGGTCTCTGATATCTTTGGACTCTGCAGAGAAAGGACTGTGCAGGTCTCTGATATCTTTGGACTCTGCAGAGAAAGGACTGTGCAGGTCTCTGATATCTTTGGACTCTGCAGAGAAAGGACTGTGCAGGTCTCTGATATCTTTGGACTCTGCAAAGAAAGGACTGTGTGGTTCTAAAAAGGCATTGGACTCTGCAGAGAACTTCCGGTGGTTGAAGTTGGCATCAAACGACTGCTGCTGATTTGAGATGTGAGAATACTCTTCAGCCATATGGGGGCCAGGGTAGGACAATAGCCTGGTTAGGCCTCCTGAGTATTCCAGGCTGGACGTGGAGCTGTGCAGGCTGTCGTTGGAGGAGTACCCGTTTGGGCTGAAGCGGCTCTGGAAGGATGCCGCTCGAGTCACGCAGGAGCCGTTGCCGTTGGGGGTGGCCTTGTTGAAGGACAGGCTTGAGCCCAATGCACCAGCCTGTCGGGGGTCCTGAGGAGGGGGGTGAGGGAGGGACGGGTAGGGCCGGGAATGGAGCGTGGGCTTGGTACGGCTGAGGTAGTAGCGTGGGGAGGCGGGCGGTATGGGCGAGGTGGGGAGGTCCTCGTCATCGTCAATGTCGAAAGACCTCTTCAGAGCTGCAACAGAGACAGGAAGTTGTCAGAACATGGAATGGAAAGGTTTCTCTCCACATAAAAACACAATCAAACAAAAAAGTTGACAAATATAAGATAAGATAAACCTTTATTTGTCCCAGTGAGAGATTTCAATCATTCGCGCAAATTACAGCAGAATAGAAGGAGAAATAAGAGAACTCAGGTTATGCACACATCAAACAAGATCAAAGTTTCCTTCATAGTTAATACAAAACTCTGGAGCTATAATTGCACTTGGGTCAAGGATAAGTCACTTGTGGAGTACACACACACACACACACCAGAACAAACAGTAATAATAGCAGCAGTTAACGTGGCCAGTGCAGGGGTCTCCAACCTTTTTCAACAGAAGAGGCAGAGAGCTACTCCTTTTTGCAGTCGTAATAAAAAAGTATGTACAAATTAAGACAAAACATGGGAAACACATGTCAAATATACCAAAATACTGTATAACCCTATATTTATACTTATAATACACAAGTAATGACGTAAATGTTTTCATTCAAGATCTTATGTTGAATTCTAAATCCTTTGCTACCTGTAAGGGGCTGGCAAGCTACTGGTAGCTTCTGAGCTATAGGTTGGAAACCCCTGGGCTAGAGCAGAGTTATCAGATGAATGGAATGTATAATAATTTAGTAATAATAAAAGCAGGTAAAGTGACTAGTGGATGATCAGAGCAGTATCAGGACAGGTCCACAGCAGTTCTCAGTATGCTCCATGTTCACCCCCAGCACAACTTTAAAGGGGTTTTTCTCTCTCACTTGTGTTTTTCTTTCTTCACTTTTGGCAGATTTATGGATGGATTTGGAAATAAGTATATTTTTTCCAACCCAGAATCAACATAGTGTACCTATAATGTGATTGTAAGGGTTAGTCATATTTTTTGTGTGAAAAGTCGCAGACACGGGGAGAACATGCAAACTCCACACATGAGTTCATTCAGAGTTTTGATGCCTGATAGACAATTACACAGACATAACTATACAGAAAAGGTTACAATGTTTTGAAGATCAAAAACGTGGAGTAATTACACTTCCAATATGAAAAGCCGTCAAATTGACTGCTCGGCTCTATCTAATATAAAACTGGATGAGTACATTTCACATTTCAGATCTCAGGTCAGACAGACGGGCACAGAGAGCTCCGATGCGTGCGTTTGGTGTGAAAGGGCCTCTCTGGTGGAGATTACTCTGAGCTCGACCGCGGTCAAAGTAAATAAATGTAAAAACACTAAACGCTTTCAGGTCGGCCCCGTAGGTCGGCCCTGCGGCTTAGGGCCCGTACTGGAAGAGCCTGCATTCAACTGGGGGCCCCACAGAAGCACTCCCAGCTGTCAAAGTAACTCCAGAGCCCAAACCTCCGTACACTGCCTCTGAACCAGGCATGTCCAAACTCAGGCCCGCGGGCCAATTGAGGCCCTCTGTGCCTTTTTATGTGGCCCTCTGCTGCTAACACAAAGTCACCATTGAGGCACTTTGACAGTGTCATCCAGCCAACTACAGCTCCACAAATACAGTCATGCTGTGCCTTGTTCTAAATCTCAGACCCTCAGGAATCCAGTCGTTGACTCTACTGTTATTTATTGACATTTGTTTATGATTGTGTCACAACATTCCACATAAAATACAGCTGTAAATCAAAAGGACGTGTCATAATCCATTTTAAATTCCAGAATAGAGTCCATCCAGCTCAAATCCAGTTCTGCCCCAGGTCAAGTCTGATGAACTAAAGTGGCCCTGTTACTAAAATGTTTGGACACCCCTGCTCTAAACAGAACTGACAGAACATGCATGAGCCATGTATGAAGAACAAATTCCGTGTAAAATAAAAGATAGCTAAAAAACGAAAACATATTTAGATGATGGATCAATCTACTAAATAATTTAATTGCATATTTGTCCTGAATGCTAGCATGATATTTAGGGCAATTTGAGTAAGAAAAAGCTGAAGAAAAGGACATTTTAACAAAATGTTTTCAAAATCCAGACATTTACTCAAGTCCTGATAATGTTGGATATAATCCCCAACTCTGAGGGACTGAGGGCTGCGGGAAGACCAGAGAGAGACCAGAGAGAGACCAGAGAGAGACCAGAGAGAGATTAGAGAGAGACCAGAGAGAGACCAGAGAGAGACCAGAGAGAGACCAGAGAGAGACCAGTGAGAGACCAGTGAGAGACCAGAGAGAGACCAGAGAAAGACCAGAGAGAGACCAGAGAGAGACCAGTGAGAGACCAAAGAGAGACCAGAGAAAGACCAGAGAGAGACTAAAGAGAGATTAGAGAGAGACCAGAGAGAGACCAAAAAGAGACCAGAGCGAGACCAGAGAGAGACCAGAGAGAGACCAGAGAGAGGCCAGAGAGAGACAAGAGAGAGACCAGAGAGAGACCAGAGAGAGGCCAGAGAGAGACCAGAGAGAAGCCAGAGAGAGACAAGAGAGAGACCAGAGAGAGACTAAAGAGAGATTAGAGAGAGACCAGAGAGAGACAAAAAAGAGACCAGAGAGAGACAAGAGAGGGACCAGAGAGAGATCAGAGAGAGACCAGAGAGAGACCACAGAGAGACCACAGAAAGACCAGAGTGAGACCGCGGTCGTCCTCTGAACTAATCACTGCACTGCACTCAAAGTTTCCTTCAGATGTCAGATGCAGCACATTAAAAACATCCTGTAAGAAATATTCAACAGGCCCTAAAAAGATGATTTTGCAGAACATGTGTGCTTCAAGTGTGGCGTTTGTGAAAATGGAGGAGTGAGGGGACAGAGGACATTTGTGACCGGTGTGGGAACAGCAGGAGCAGCCTCCTCGGGCACAAAGCAGCAGTGTGGGGACAGAGGACCGGACGCAGGCTCTCCTTACAGTCGGACGAAACGTGACACTGGGGAGCATTGTCCCATTGTAGCAGAGAGGCTGAAGATCCACCCAGAGGACAGTCCAGGGGGAGGACCAGGGTCTGAATGTGAACGTAAAACTTCTGTCCCTTCACTAACAAACCAGAGTGCACGATGCTCACCCGCTAGCTACTGTATGCTGTAGGAAATAAACCAAATCTTGAATTGTATTTCAGTATTTCAGCAGTCGCAAATACAACTGTTTGGAAAAGAAGACATTTTGCACAACACTAGAGGACTACCACAATTATCAAACTACTAAAACTCCCACACTTTTCGACTGCTCTCATTCAAACCAATAGAATTCAGAGACATTTTTTGGACGGAGTTATAAGTCAATTATAAGTAGCTGTTGTTGTTTTTTGTTGTTGTTTACTTTTACTCACTTTTACCAAGTGCTAAAACTGGTTAATATACCTTGAAATCCAGCAAAAAGAAATTTGTTGAAAGGCTAACAATTGATAACTGGTAGCATATGTTGATTATGTTGCTATGGTAACTAATACTGGCTCGGATCTGGGAGGCAAAGATAGAAATAAACCGCTTATAGATAGAGAAAAAGGCACAAAGTTACCAAGACCAAAACATGTAAATACGTTGAGTAATTGCACTTACAAAACGAGGCCGTCAAATTGACTGCTCTGGGTGTGTTAAAAAATGTTGAAAAAGAAAATGTTTACCCAGAACATCAATCTGAAAGTTCGACAGCACACATTATCATATGTTTTGGAATATTGTCACCACCTGTATGAGAATATATTGAGAACATTTATGTACACTTGGCCCCGTTATGGACCAATGGCTTTATGTTTATTATTATCATTGCATTTCCTGTGTTTCTCTAATCTGTGTTGGCGAATCGACAGCTTTGTAAAGTCCTCCGAGATAATAACGACTGTTGTGATTTTGGGCTATACAAAAATGAATGTACATTGGGTTGAATTACATGTGGAATGGTTTTTTTAAGACAGTTTTTGATTCATTTGGATTGTTCCAGAAATAACAGAAGAGTTATCTCTAAACTAAGTCAGTAATCTTTATTTATATAACGTATTTCAGAGATCAAGGTCGCCCAAAGCACTTAACAATGTTCCATTCTCTCCGCACACAGAGATGACAGCAGCGAGAGGCTGAAGATTCACCACCCATCACTCAAACAATACACTCAGACCTATTGCACATGTTTTGTTATTGGTATAAGGGGAAACCCGGAGCACCCAGAGGAAACCTATGCAGACACGGGGAGAATATGCAAACTCCACACAAAAAGGTCTGGAGTTGGATTTGAACCCAGGACCTTCATCAGTACTGCGTTGGTCCACACCTTCCATATCTGATCTGATCCACCCATGGAGATGTGCACCTATGAAGCCCTGAACATTCCATCAATGGCCCCCGCTCGAGGCCGTACAGGGGCCCGGTGTGTGTGTGTGTGTGTGTGGGAGGCCCCTCATGCGTGACGTGCTGGGTGCAGGCTGGGGGGAGAGAGCCGCCCGGACCTGCCCCTGCCTGCGATAAGCTCTGTGGTGAGGTGGTCCTCCGGTTGCTGCTCCAGGCTAAGGCTTACACTAACCTTCACCTTCACGCTGCATTCAGGGGCCCTTTAACCAACCCCCCCCACCCAGTCTCACTGATAACCCGCTTTATGGATCCCACTCAAGGCTGTCTGGGGCCTTCTCAAGCATGCAATGGGAGTGGAGGGCTTTACGAGACTTTGGCCACACCACATGCACTTTATGAAGCCTTATTTGAGGGCACTAGTGACAATTGGCAAGCAACCAAAGTACTGAATTGTGGACTTATAAGCGGGGGAGGCAAACCTACAACCCGCTGTTTGGTTCCTCTGATCTCAAAACAGTTTGCCGCAATTTTTAAGACAAAATGTAAAAAGACAGAAAGGAGACCACCTTGACTCAAGCCAGCTCTCAGCCCAAAGAGTCAAAGAACAGAGAGAGACTAGAGAGAGAGACCAGAGAGAGAGACCAGGGGCAAACCAAAGAGACCAGAGAGAGACAAGGGAGGGACAAGAGAGAGACCAGAGAGAGAGACCAGGGGCAAACCAAAGAGACCAGAGAGAGACAAGGGAGGGACAAGAGAGAGAGACCAGAGAGAGATCAGAGAGAGACCAGAGAGAGAGAGACTAGAGATAGACCAGAGAGAGAAAAGAGAGCGAGACTAGAGAAAAACACGAGAGAGAAAAGCGAGAGAGACAAGAGAGAGACCAGAGAGACTAGAGAGACCAGAGAGAGATCAGGGAGCCGAGAGAGACCAGAGAGAGACCAGAGAGACTGGAGAGGGCCTGGGGACAAACCAGACAGACCAGAAAGAAATACCAGAAAGAGACCAGAGAGACTATAGCGAGAGACCAGAGAGAGAACCAGAGAGGGACTAAAGAGAGTCTAGACCAAAGACTCTTTCAGTCCACACGGGGTGAGAATCAGTGCATTCCCAAAGTGTGTGATCCATTTGAAAACAACAGATTCCAGAGCAGAGGATAATCTCGGAGTAAATCTCTGTAATAAGTGACAAACTCAACTGCTTCCTGTTTCCTGCCACACCATTAGCTTTAGCCTCTCTTAAGCGCCACAAGCTAACACGCACAAACATTTCATTTATTACAGTTCAATAATCACCAAAAGATATAATTAGAATTTGGTAAAACCTCCAACAACTCCAGCCTCTGACCATAACATTCAGACCTGTTGTACATGGGTTTAGTGGTAAACCGGAGCACCTGGAGGATGCATCAGCTGACGAAAAGTGGATTCTGTACTAAGTTTGGAATGCCTTTCACAACGATACAAGAAAAGAGAAGGCATTGAGTGAGACCATGTTCCTTGGAAAACTTAACTATCGCAGTCTTGGTTGCAGCGGCCAATGTACGCTTTCTTTTGAGTGCTGCTTGTAGGTAATTAAATAAGTTGTATGTACTGTAGCTCTAAGTGTAAATACTATTCGTCTCATGGAATTCAAAAAGGTAAAAACGTGACATTTGAATCCAACTCCATCTACATTGAAAAAGTATGGTTTTTATGTGTTCAAGGTCCAAAAATGGCCAGAACATACTTTGAAATTGTGTGCATGACTACTGTAAATTCAGAGTATGACAGAGGCCTAAAGCAGTCAAACTAAATGGGGGATAAATGAAGTGTTAATTGTGCTGAATTTTTTCTTATTCAGGGTTTCTGTACTTTAAGAAAAAACAAATTGTGAAAAGAGAAAGCAGCGATAAAAGTCCTGTCCTCTCGTAGCGACCGCCGCCCACGCTCCCGCCTCGGGCTCCTGACCCTCTGACCTCATCACCGCCCTCTTTTCTGACTGTCAGTGCCCAGTCTCAATCTGCCCCTCCTCCATTCATTCATACATTCATACGCATTACAGCCACTCACATAATACAGCAAGACCATCTATAGCATACAGTTTATCAAAAGACCATAAGTATTGGGACGTGGAATGTGAAGTTCTCATCGTAAAAGGTTCAAGGTAAATTTGGGAGTGAAAACATGTCGCTTTTCCACAGTCACGGTATGTCACGGTCGTGTACGGGTGCTTTTCCAATTAAAATAGTACCTCCAATATTAGTAGTAACATTGGTCTTATGCGTCACTTTTTGTCATATACCTGAACATTCATTTTGCCCTTGTGTTTTGACTAAAAACAAAAACCTTTTTGTATTTAGCAAATATGTCTCCATCCTTGTTCATAAATGTACCACGGTTATACTGATTTACAGACAAAAATAAAAAAAAAACAAAAAATCGTAACTTCACACTTTTACTCAGTAAATACATTTCAGTGAGAGCTTTGGGCCACCGGGATACGAAGCTAACCAGTTATTTCCAGGAGACCACAGACTAGTCACATATCGAGAGCGATCTCCCTGTAAACCTTCTCGTTCCGTGTTGTGCGTTCGAGCTGCCTTTGAATTCTTTCTCCGGCCTAAAGAGAGTAACGTGTGGACCTCGTCAACGGATCAGGACTTTTGTGCTTTCTGTGCGATTCCATTTCTCTTGAGTGAAGAGGACGTGTTATAGCCTATTGTAGATCCATGGGTAGAGCAGAGCAGCCGGTTTTAAAGATGGCGGTTGAGTTGTTTTCACCAAAGGGTTGGACGTCGCTTCCAGAGACGACGCTCGACCAATCAGTGTAAGGCAGTCGGCCGACGTCTCGTTACGGTATCGCTTCGGCACGCTTGGAACCACTGTCGAAGTACCCTGATTCCAAGCCCAACCCTAGTGGAAATATAAAATAACCGTGCTGTGCCGTGCCGTACCATGCTGTATACAGTACCGTTACTGTAGAAAAGCGGCATTACTGTGTGAAAGACAGAAGAAGTCACAGCAATGAAAATCATGTTTATCTTTCAGTTACAAGCAAATCCTCCAACGTTAACTGAACAAGTCAAATCACTGTCATCTTTTAAAGAGTAAAAATTACATTTGAAGAGTTCATTTTCAAAAACTGATTTATCCGTTTTGGAAATGTGTCAAAAAGTATAAAATAGTCCTCGGCCTACAATCGTCAACATGTGTTTTTGGCAGTAAAGCTGAAAGGATTTGCTCAAGAAGAGGTGTATTTGTTTAGTAAAAGGGCAAACTATACTCTTTCAAATATTATTCTGCAAATATCTGTTTCTGTAAATGAACTATTCATTTGTGAGTAAAATGCCTGAAGTAACAAAATCCTTCACTGATCCCCCCTGGGAACAAAACATCTTTAAGTGAAGAATGTATGAACTGCTTCTGAAACTGGTTGAAGCTGTGATAGCACCGCCTGAAGGAGAAGGAGATTAAAGATTCCAGTCCATGTATGGCAGAGGAGAAGAGAGGAGAGGGGAGGGGAGGGGAGGGGAGGAGAAGAGAGGAGGAGAGGAGAGGGGAGAAGAGGAGAGGAGAGGAGGAGAGGGGAGAAGAGAGGGGAGGGGAGGGGAGGAGAAGAGAGGAGGAGAGGAGAGGAGGAGAGGGGAGAAGAGGAGAGGAGAGGAGAGGAGGAGAGGGGAGAAGAGAGGGGAGGGGAGGAGAGGAGAGGAGAGGAAAGGAGAGGATAGTAGAGTAGAGTAGAGTATGGTAGAGTAGAGTAGAGTAGAGTATGGTAGAGTAGAGTAGTGTAGAGTAGAGTATGGTAGAGTAGAGTAGAGTAGAGTATGGTAGAGTAGTGTAGAGTAGATTAGAGTAGAGTAGAGTAGAGTAGAGTAGAGTAGAGTAGTGTAGAGTAGTGTAGAGTAGAGTATGGTAGAGTAGAGTAGAGTAGAGTATGGTAGAGTAGAGTAGAGTAGAGTATGGTAGAGTAGAGTAGAGTAGAGTAGATTAGATTAGATTAGAGTAGAGTAGAGTAGAGTAGAGTATGGTAGAGTAGAGTAGAGTAGAGTAGAGTAGAGTAGAGTAGGGTAGAGTAGAGTAGAGTAGAGTAGAGTAGAGTAGAGTAGAGTAGAGTAGAGTAGTGTAGTGTAGAGTAGAGTAGAGTAGTGTAGTGTAGTGTAGTGTAGTGTAGTGTAGTGTAGTGTAGAGTAGAGTAGAGTAGAGTAGAGTAGTGTAGTGTAGTGTAGTGTAGTGTAGTGTAGTGTAGTGTAGAGTAGAGTAGAGTAGAGTAGAGTAGAGTAGAGTAGAGTAGAGTAGAGTATGGTAGAGTAGAGTAGAGTAGAGTAGAGTAGTGTAGTGTAGTGTAGTGTAGTGTAGTGTAGTGTAGAGTAGAGTAGAGTAGAGTAGAGTAGAGTAGTGTAGTGTAGTGTAGAGTGTAGAGTAGAGTAGTGTAGTGTAGTGTAGTGTAGTGTAGTGTAGTGTAGAGTAGTGTAGAGTAGAGTAGAGTAGTGTAGAGTAGAGTAGAGTAGAGTAGAGTATGGTAGAGTAGAGTAGTGTAGAGTTGAGTAGAGTATGGTAGAGTAGAGTAGAGTAGAGTAGAGTAGAGTATGGTAGAGTAGAGTAGAGTAGAGTATGGTAGAGTAGAGTAGAGTAGAGTAGAGTAGGGTAGAGTAGAGTAGGGTAGAGTAGAGTAGAGTAGAGTAGTGTAGAGTAGAGTAGAGTAGAGTAGAGTAGAGTAGTGTAGTGTAGAGTAGAGTAGAGTAGAGTAGTGTAGTGTAGAGTAGTGTAGTGTAGTGTAGAGTAGAGTAGAGTAGAGTAGAGTAGAGTATGGTAGAGTAGAGTAGAGTAGAGTATGGTAGGGTAGAGTAGAGTAGAGTAGAGTAGAGTAGAGTAGTGTAGTGTAGTGTAGTGTAGAGTAGAGTAGAGTAGAGTAGAGTAGTGTAGTGTAGAGTAGTGTAGTGTAGTGTAGTGTAGTGTAGTGTAGTGTAGAGTAGAGTAGAGTAGAGTAGAGTAGAGTAGAGTAGTGTAGAGTAGAGTAGAGTAGAGTATGGTAGAGTAGAGTAGAGTATGGTAGAGTAGAGTAGAGTAGTGTAGACTAGAGTAGAGTAGAGTAGAGTATGGTAGAGTAGAGTAGTGTAGAGTAGAGTAGAGTATGGTAGAGTAGAGTAGAGTAGAGTAGTGTAGAGTAGAGTAGAGTATGGTAGAGTAGAGTAGAGTATGGTAGAGTAGAGTAGAGTAGAGTAGTGTAGAGTAGAGTAGAGTAGAGTAGAGTAGAGTAGTGTAGAGTAGAGTATGGTAGAGTAGAGTAGAGTAGTGTAGAGTAGAGTAGTGTAGAGAGTAGAGTAGAGTATGGTAGAGTAGAGTGGAGTAGTGTAGAGTAGAGTATGGTAGAGTAGAGTGGAGTAGTGTAGAGTAGAGTAGAGTATGGTAGAGTAGAGTAGAGTAGAGTAGTGTAGAGTAGAGTAGAGTAGAGTAGAGTAGAGTAGTGTAGAGTAGAGTAGAGTATGGTAGTGTAGAGTAGAGTATGGTAGAGTAGAGTAGAGTAGAGTATGGTAGAGTATGGTAGAGTAGAGTAGAGTATGGTAGAGTATGGTAGAGTAGAGTAGAGCAGAGCAGAGACAGGGCCAATTTAGGGCTAATGGAAACAGGGCTGAAATGTTCTGTTTTCTTCCTTTTCAGACGGATTTGGATCCAAAAAAGATTGGCTCCGAATCAGTTTTGTCAGTTTCTCCTTTCTGTGAATCTGCGAAATGTTTGATGTTCGGAAAAAACAGATGCCTCCTCCCTCTGGTGGTGGAAGAAGGGAAATACATGAGATCCTGTTAATCCTTTAATCATGTTTATCCATATATATCTTTACAGTTATGCGGTGATCCTGACGTCCATGTAAGGCCCTGACTGTCCCTCTGGCCTCAGCGTCTCGCCTGGGCCTGTCTCCCCCGTCCCCCCCCTCCCCGTTTCTCCCCCTTCCCGCTCTCCCCCGCCCCTCACATTCCGCACAGGTAGGCCTTTGACGGACGAACAGCGTGCGCTTTGACACGTGTGAGGTGGTGGTGTGTGTGTGTGTGTGTGTGTGTGTGTGTGTGTGTACGTGTGTGTGGGGGGCACACATCTGGAAGACGCATTCCAGCCGTTCGTCAAATCACAGCCCTGCGCTCGTAAAGGCGCCGTGACCAGAGCGACAGAGCATCACCTCATGCTGATACTATTGTCAGACTACACACACACACACACACAACCACACACAGACACACACAAACACATGCACACACACACACAGAAACACACACACACACACACACACACAAACACACACACAACCACACACAGACACACACAAACACACGCACACACACACACACACACAGAAACACACACACACAACCACACACAGACACACGCACACACAGAAACACACACACACACACACAGCCACACAACCACACACACCCGCACACATACACAGTCAGTGTACAGGTCTCTCGTAATAACGCATTTCAACTTTTGCGGCCTTGTTGTTTCGCAGATTTTTTTGTGTACAACATTCTCATACACACACAGCACGAGTGTGAAGGGAGTGTCTGTCCTGAGGGGCGACAGTAGCTCAGTTGGTAGAGTATTGGCCTTTGAGCCAGAAAGTCGTGGGTTCGAGCTCGACCTTCACCATCGACTCCCACTGATGTCTGCTGTCGTTGTGTCCTTGGCAAGACACTTAACCTCTGGGGAGGTTAAGTGTGGGGCGGCTGCGGCTGTAAAGTGCCAAACTGCCGTTGTGTCCTTTGGCAAGACACTTTACCCCCATTGCCTAGAATGAGTCTGGTGTGTGTGTGAATGGTTGTGGCTACAGTAGTTTATCACCACTGTGTTCGGAGTGAATGAATAATGACATGTAAAGGGTCCAAAAAAGCGCTATATAAATCCAATGCATTATTATTCACAGGGCCCGGCTCCTCTGTAGGCCTTCTCCTCTGGGGCCTGGCTCCTCTGTACGCCCTCTCCTTGGGGGCCTGGCTCCTCTGTACGCCCTCTCCTTAGGGGCCTGGCTCCTCTGGAGGCAGCCTGTAAGCTGTAATGGGGCTAACCTCTGGTCCCACCTCTGAAGTGTGACTGTCTAAGCATGTTCCCAAAAGTCAAATGTTAACCACTCTGCAAATTGTCGTCGTTGAAAGCAGGACCCTCCGGCAGGATTCATAAACCAGTGACAAAATCTGTGAGAATCCAACGTGCTGAGGTTAAACTTTAGAAAGAATGCCATCCATCATGAACAAAGCAGTTAGGAAACTAATGTTTACAACATCAGTCATGTGAGTGATTGATTGACAAGTACTGACAGCCAATCAGGAGTCTCCGAGGCCGTAAAGCTGTTTTACGGCTCCTGGCTTTTATGAGCTTTCACTCTGGAAGCAGAGACGAGCTGCAGAAGTAAAGGACAGTGGTTTTCCTGAATCTGAGTCTTAATAAAGACACAATAAGACATACACAAAGTGTCTTTAGTGTCTGCAAAGCTGGACTTGTCATTAGGAACTTCTGTCCCCCCACCCCTTCTGACCAAACGCTCTGTTTTCAAATGCATGGAGTGATTAGTACTCACTTCTCAGCAAGAAGGTTGGGGTTAGGCTTCCCCGTTTTGGGAATATCTTAGACAGATTAATTTATATATTCATACTTAAAACAGGATTTAACTTTGGAAAACATGAAATGACAATTAAGTAAATATTCTTAGCATTGTGTTTTACGATGAACATAGGTATCCGTCCGTCCACATCTCACATCCTGCCAAAGTATCCGCCTCTTCAGCCTCCATCGGTTTACCTTTACTTTTCAATGCCCTGGAAAAGGCAAAAAGTTGGTGCTTTGTGCTTTACAATCGTTACTTTGTATTGTTATTTGAAAAAATGCAAATAAGCTTGTGCTGGAGTTTATTAAGAGCCAGATCCCTGCGAGTGTTGACCCGCTCCAGTTTGCTACAGACAGAACAGGAGTGTGGAGGATCCATCTCCTTTGCTCTGAACTCTGTCTACAGTCACTTGGACACTAGTAAATCTGTCGCGAGAATGCTTTTCATCGATTATAGCTCTGCTTTTAACTGCCTTGTCCCAGGTAAACTGATTGAAAAGCTCATGTCTCTCGGTTTAAGTGTTGCCATGTGTAAATGGATTTTTAGCTTTTCAACTGACAGATCTCAGAGAGTGAAAATCAATGACTGTTTTTCTGATGTTGTTTCTGTGAGCACTGGTTCTCCTCAGGGATGTATTTTGAGTCCTTTGCTTTTTACTTTGTACACTCACGATTGTGTGTCCTCCTCAGACTCTAACCTGATCCTTAAATATGCTGATGACACCACCATCATCGGTCTCATCAGTGACACTGATGAATCCTCTTATAGAGCAGAGATACAAAATGTGGTTCAGTGGAGTCAAACTAACAACCTCCAGTTGAACACATCCAAAACATGTGAACTGGTCTACGACTTCAGTCGCAATAGTTCTCATTTGCCTGTAGTTATTGACAACTCCCAGGTGCAGATCGTAGAGGAGTGCAAGTTTCTGGGTCTAACTCTGTCTAACGACCTGAAATGGGTTAAAAACACTGACCGGGTCGTTAAGAAAGCTCGTCAGCGTCTCTACTTTCTGCGTAAACTTAGAGAATTTACCACTAACTCTAAGATTCTGCTTAACTTTTATCGCTGCACCATTGAGAGTTTACTTGTTGGTTCTGTGTCTGTGTGGTTTGGAAACATCACAGATAAAGAAAAGAGAGCTTTAAACAAGGTGCTCCGCTCTGCTAAGAGGACCGTGGGCTGTGAGCTTCCTGTTCTGGAGGTTCTTTATAAATCCAGACTTTTAAACAAAGCTCTTAAGATTGTCAATGACTCTTCTGGCCACCCTGGGAAAGCCATGTTCCAGCTTCTTCCCTCTGGCAGAAGATATCGCTCTCTGAGATGCAGGATATCTCGTTGCGCTAACAGTTTTTATCCACAGGCTGTTATCAGTGTGAACAGAGCACTTTAATGATTTGCACTTGTTTTGAAACTGTTTTAGTCGATCGATTTCACAGTGACATTTGTTTACTGTTTTATTTGTTTTATTTTTGTCTTTTAATGTTGTTTTATGTCTGTATTTGTCTGTGCACACTGGTGACTTTTGCTAATGTATTCCAATGTGGTGTTTTACTGCAAATGGCAAATAAACTGAATCTGAATAAAGCCTTAAGAATTTCACTCTGAACCAAAGCAGAAAAAACAGTCCGACCCAAGCAGACTCTGCAAACATTGACCAGAGGAAGCAGCTCATCACCAGCAACTGCACCAGCAACTTGGTAGCTTAGGTCCTGGATCTACAGCCTCAGTCCTCGTTCTACAGTCTGAGCCCTGGGTCTACAGCCTCAGTCCTCGTTCTACAGTCTGAGTCCTGGATCTACAGCCTCAGTCCTCGTTCTACAGTCTGAGTCCTGGATCTACAGCCCGTCCGTCCGTGTGGAGCAGATCCCTCTCTCAATGTGGGTCTCCCCGAGGTTTCTCACTTTTTTCCCACTGGGTTTTGTTGCACTTCATGACTATTCCCACTAAACATCCGACGTCCACTCAACCTCCAGATCACGTCAATATCGCGTCGGTCGGTCGTGACCTTTTATTTACGTCCAAACGACGTCTGTGCAAGGTGCGCATCTGGACGTAAAACAATGACCTCCCATATACGTGGATATGACGTTCAATCCCGACCTCCCTTAGACGTCGAAAACAGGTCATCGGCTGACCGACGCAGTACGTCTTGATCTAGCAATACAATATATAGGCTGTGAAGCGATCTCAGTGTACCTGACGGTAGTGTAGTGGTTAAGCAAATGTGTGCAGCCTTGGTTACGTGAGTTCAAGCCCACGTGTGTGTATTATTATCTTTACATATTTGTTTTGATTTTTAACGAACAATTTTTTTCTGTTTGGTTAAAGACTAATAAACACTCAACATAGGATTACGTAGTGGCTAATAATAAAACTTGTGAATGTATGCATTTGTTGTGCTAACAATCTCAAGTTTGCAAATAAGGGGTGAGCACTTGAGATTGTATGCAAATGCATGGGTTCACAAGTTTTATTATTAGCCACTACATAATCTTATGTTGAGTGTTTATTCGTTTTTAACCAAACAGAAAAATTGTTCGCTAAAAAGTAAAAAGTCAAAAGTTTTCCGACGGGGATTTGAACCTGCGTCGTTGGGACTGAAGTCTCATTACACAACCGCTACACCACGGCCAGGCATTTATCCAGACTACTGTGACAAAATAATAGATAACACCCTAAACAACCGACGCACACTTATGCGCCGCGCGAGTATAACTTAGGCTTTACAGCCTGACACGTGAGTCGCTCGGTCGAGGACCTGTTTTCCACGTCTAAACGACGTAAGGTGTGAATCTGGACGTAAAGTAATGCCTTCCCAGACGTTGATATGACGTTGAATCTGTACCTCTGTCGCTGCCCTGCTTTATTTAGCTACTTGGAATCACCCTCTCTAGTAAGTACACAGTCTGCACAGTTTTTAGATATAGATGTATCATTTCCACATTGAAAAGAGTTGGAGACAGAAAGTAAGTTGTTTTCTCACGTATACGTGGATTTTGTTAAGTATATTTTGTATATTATCTGTATTTTGAATTGCCAGTGCATGAATCTATTGAGAGTGAGGAGCTGACGTCATAGCACAGAGCCCCTCCCCGTCTCCGCCATGTTGGTAGGATCCCAGCGGCAAACACTTGTTGTTGTTAACTCGGTAGCAAAGGAGGTCGTCGCTATTTCTGTTTTACCATGCCTGGAGCTCATTGCTGTGTGAAAAACTGCTCCAGTACCTCACACAATAAGAAAGGAAAACGTAGGAACAACGGTTTACAATTTTTTAGGCCACCAAAATGGATACAACATCAGGGAGCGCAAGTGTCTGACCTGACGAAGAGACGCCGGATGGCTTGGTTGGCTGCAATAAGAAGAAAGGACCTTACTTTCGATCTCACCCCCAGTCGATGAGAGTGTGTTCTCTGCATTTTCACTCGGGTACGTCCTAAAATGTCTTTATGTTGTTTTTTTAAAGTTAAGAAGTGTAGGTTACCTAGCTGTTAATGTTGCAAACACTGAAGTGCATCTTAAGTTAGCTGCCTAGCTAACTATCTAACAAACTGTTGCCTCTATGAAAATGCTTAATGGCCAACCATTAATGTTAACTAAGAATATTTAAGTTTCTGCTCATTATCCTACCTTGTTGGTGGAATATGGGCACTCAAAGTGCGTTTGTCTCTGTCTCTTATGTTCTCTAAACCAGTGGTGCCCAAACTTTTTTTTTGTCTTGTGTTTCCACTACCCCCTGAGCCCTTTTATGAAACCATGAATAGCGTTACCTTCTTGTTTAATATTTCTTTAGATTCCAGATTGTTTAATAATCTTATTAATCTGATGTAAGTAAACCATTATATGAGATTGCTAAAAATAGTTGAGATTCTGTTCATGACATTATGCTACCTTGTTGCCAGTTTAAAGCATTGACTACATACATTATTCTGTTCTAGGTAAACCATCATATGAGATGTTGGAGAATCACCCTGACTGGACACCATCCTTGCGGTTAGGCCACAATAATGTTAAAGAAACAGATGGAGCGCGATATCAGCGGCAAGTAAAGCGCAGTACCCAGCATCTGGAGCAGTCATCACTCCCAGCCCAAGCCCAGCAGCCTCCATCGCCAGCCCAAGCCCAGCAGCCTCCATCGCCAGCCCAAGCCCAGCAGCCTCCATCGCCAGCCCAAGCCCAGCAGCCTCCATCGCCAGCCCAAGCCCAGCAGCCTCCATCGCCGGCCCAAGCCCAGCAGCCTCCATCGCCGGCCCAGCAGCTGCCTCAAGGAAGGATGAGGAAGCTCTCACCCTTCCAGCTTGTCCTATTGACTGTAATGCGCCTCAGATTAGACCTTCCATCTCAGAATTCACGTTGAGAGGGTGATTGGTGTTGTGCGCAACAAATTCAAATTCTTACATTCAACTGTACCTGTGCATATGCTTCTCAAATGTGAGGGTGAAAACCTAATGCCTTTAGATAAGATTGTCACTGTTTGCTGTGCCTTAACGAACATGTGCAAAAGTGTTGTTTGAGTGCCTTGTTCATAACTTATGAACCAACCAGAACCCCTCATGTCATCTGGATCCGAGTCCAGAGTCAGAACCAGACACGGAGAAGCTGCATTCAGCTTCTATGCTCCACATGTCTGGAACAAACTCCCAGAAAGCCTCAGATCAGCTGAAACACTCAGTTTGTTTACATCCAGGTTAAAGACCCACCTGTTCTCAGCTGCTTTTGAATATTTTTTATTCTAATGTACAAATCTGCAGGCTTCTTTTAATCTGGAATTACTTATCTGTTATCTTTTTCCTATGATTTTTTGTTTTTAAGTTAAAGTTTAAAATATGATATTGTTTTTCATATTTCAAACTATTTTTAACACATTAGAATTCTTAGGTTAGACTGTCCAACAAACTATGTGTTAAAAAAGGTTAAGATTCTTGAGTTTTAAAATAATAATTCAATTCTAAAATGTAAAGTTACTGTATATTTCACAATGGTTTATAAACTGCAAAAAGACAACAGTACTTAGTAAACTAAGTTTAAAAACAGGGAGATCAGCTTTAATATTTGGGACACTCCCATCATTTAGACACCTGTGATGTCATCAGTTGGAGTTGAGTTCAGGTGTGGGACCATGTGGGACCATGTGGGACCATAGGAGCACACAGATGTTACCTGCTGCAGAAAGAGAGTTTAATGTTCATGTATTGCTTTGTTTAATAAATGGATTTAATGTCTTCCCAGGTCTTCAATGTCAGAGACTTTCACTTCTTCTCACTGTGGCTGTTCAAATGAGCCACTACAGTCGTTATTTTTGTTATTGTTAGCTGCAAATATTAAATATCCATTCATCTGCTGGTAGCAAGCTAACTAGCGCTTGCAACTCTATTCAATTTCTTACTTTTTCTTATAAACATTAAAACCAGCCATATGATAATTAAAATACATTTACCTTTGCTAATGCAGTCAATTTTTTGTGAAATCCATAGAGTATAATTTCATGATTGTTGCAATAACTAATGTTCTATGTGTATTCCTAATGTGTCATGTGTGTTTGAGTCTTACAGGTGTCAGACTGTGTTGAAGGTGTTCAAAGGTAAGAATCACACTCTCACACATTGATTGTTGTTCTGTATTAATATGTTGTTTTTAGAATAAACCATTATTTGGTGTATTCTCTTTGAAAACATCTATCTTTTTCTCAGATTGTTCAGCAACTCACTCATGATGAGGGAAAAGAGCAACAAGGGGAAAATGCCCGCTCGGAAATGCGACATGTGTAGAGTAATACAGGGTAAGTAGCTTTCAGGGCTCATTTGTCCATGTGCAAAACAAATGCACATTTGCAATTGTTTTTTTACATGGAATTACTCCAATGACCAAAGCCTTATCCCAAGTTTCTCAGACGGAGTGTCTTCCAGTGTCTCGAGCTAGTGCAGTGCCAAGGTTTGTATCACATGGTGATGGATCGAGTGGTTTGAGGCATTAATAGAAAGTTATGTGTTGTTATATCACTTTGCCACATTATGTTGAAACTAAACATGTTCCACATTTTCAGGTGCTGTGCTTGGACCTTGTGATGAGAGACTGAAGACCAAGAGAGGACACATGTTGGAACATCAACATTCAATAAATGCATTCTTCTGCCTTTCAGATTGTGTTTTTACATCTGGGGAACCTAGAGTGTAGCTTGTGCCTGTTTTAATACTGATCCAAACATAGGCGCTACAATCATGTTTTTTTACTTTGGCATGAACTGTTCAGTACAGTAGTGTTCATAACACTGTGCCCTGTGTGGATTTAACTTGTACTTTGATGTAGAGAAACATGATTTTTAATGCAGCTCCATTTGCAATAATGACTGATATCCTTCTACTACAGTTGTTCTAATGATTTTTGAATGCTGTGTTTATCGTTTATTGCCCAGAGTCAGAACTAAACATGATATAGCTGCATTTCAGATTCACAAGGCTAAAATCTGGAACGGTCTTCCTGGAAATGTGAGACAGGCTTCTTCTTTGACAATGTTAAAATCCAGGTTTAAAACACTTCTGTTTCTGCTTCAACTGAGAGATTTTTTGAGAGATTTTATTTGTATCTTTTTAATTTACTGTCAATATTTATAATTGTAATGCCTTGTTTGATTGTTTCTATCTTTTGTTCAGTGCTTTGAGTTTCCTTTTGTTTTGACTGTGCTATACAAATAAACTTGCCTTGCCTATTGCAAAAAGTATGTCTCGACTATTAAGTCATTCTACAGAGGTCAATAGGACTGTAAATGGACGTCATATAAACGTCAATATTTTGGTCATATAAGACGTCGAGAGGACGTCGGACCCGACTGGTTCTGTACCACATTACAACCTTGAATGAACGTCCAGATGACGTTGGAATTACGTTGTTTTGACATCTGCTTGCTTAGTGGGAACGACTGAAAACGAACGTCATATAAACGTCAATATTTTGGTCATATAAGACGTCGAGAGGACGTCGGACCCGACCGGTTCTGTACCACATTGCAACCTTGAATGAACGTCCAGATGACGTTGGAATTACGTTGTTTTGACATCTGCTTGCTTAGTGGGAACGACTGAAAACGAACGTCATATAAACGTCAATATTTTGGTCATATGAGACGTTGATAGGACGTCAGACCCGACCGGTTCCGTACCACATTCAAACCTTGAATTGACGTGCCATCAACGTAACATTTGGAGGTTGAGGTGACGTCGGGAAACGACGTCGAGAAAACTTTCATTCTGCACCCACCAGTGACCTATATTCTACGTCGGACAACGACGTTCAAATTACGTTGATTCAACGTCGGCTTGCTTAGTGGGTTGTTAGTAACATTTAGAATTATGTATGTACTTGTTTGTGTGGATGGATGTGTTTCTGCCGCTGGACGCCTGAATCTCTCCTCCAGGGACCAATAAAGTATCCATCCATCTCTGACTATGTTTGGGTGTCCAAACATACATGAGAGGGCCGCTGTGGTGAACCAGGCCACGACACGGATTGTAAAGCAGCTTTGTTCTGAGCGTTATCGTGAGCTCTGTTGCAGCTGAAGTTGGCTGGATGACCTTTTTATTGCGTGATCAACGACCTTCATGATCATAACAAGTCACAGAAGCAATTGATGAGCTACAAAACTTTCAACAAACGCTTGAAGCACAAACGTTTACTTTCTCTGCTGTTAATGTTAAGGAATGAGAAGAGAATTTCTGCGTCTGCATAGATCCGTTTAGAACATGACATCACACTCTAGAACATTAGGATTTTGACTCTAGTCTGTTCATTGCTATTCACCCGTTATCCCATTGTCTGCTTCATGGCACGACGACGACGGGACCCCTGTTACTGGCTCCCTCCATCTGCGGACTGCCCTGCCCTGCCCGCCGTGTGGGCTGCACCCGCCAGGAGTTGCTTCAGTTACCACCGCTGCGTGGCCTCAGTCCTCGTTCTACAGTCTGAGTCCTGGATCTACGGCCCCTCCGTCCGTGTGAAGCGGATCCCTCTCTCAATGTGGATCTCCCCGAGGTTTCTCTGGGAGGTCAAACAAGAGGCATTGGTCTCTCCCTATGGACCAATAGCATGTGGTCTATGTTTTTTGTGTCTTAACTGTTGATTCTCTGATCTGTGTTGGTGATTTCAATGGTTTTGTTAAGTCTCTGAGATGATTCTGTTGTGATTTAGGGGGTTACAAGAATACATTGAATTTAATTGAACACTCTAGAACATGAGATCACACTCTAGAACAGGGGTCTCCAACCTGTAGCTCGGGAGCCACCAGTAGCTCTCCACCCCCTTCCAAATAGCTCGTCAAAGGATTTAGCAATGAATAAATCAAATAATATACTTCATATTTCAGCTTGTCTAATTTATTATCATGATCTATTATTGTAAATGCACTTACTTTGTCACTAGTAACAAATATGCGATGATAAACACTGACTGTTCCCAATATCAGGCTAAACCACACACATCGCACTCTTTGATCTCGTTCTTCAGCTCCTTTAGATTCCAGGTTTTAAAAAGGAACACGTAAACAGATGTGGTCAGATCAGTGTGGACCCAATGAAAATGGACGGACGTGACTCGTGAATTCCTGGGGTCGTTCTCTGCTCCCTGTGGGCAGCTTCAGCTCAAGTGTTGTCTGTGATGTGCACTGAACTGTAGATGACGAATGAACCTCCAGTGACAGGTAAAGTCATTGCACATGTCATACACCGCCCGGGGGCTGGGAGGGGGCTGAGGGGGCTCCACAATATCACATCCAATATTCAAGAAGACCTTACCAGCTTCTGTCTGCTCTATAGAAGTGATTACATTTCAATATGGATCTGAAAAAATGTGTCTTCTATCTGCATCTCCTCATGAAATGTGTTATATAAGAAAATCAAACTAATCTTCTCACATTATTTCGTGAACAAAGGTACATCAAACAACGGTTCGGTATCTGGCCCAAGATGTGATTATGTTTAAAGGGGCAGGGGAAGGGCTCCATGTTCTCTGTTCTGTCTGTGCACTGCTACTCACTGAGATGAGACCTCAGACCCCAGACCCCTGCCTCCCTGCCCTGGACCAGGACTTAGGGGAGTTGGTGGTTCTGTGATATCCCCCAATGAGACAACACTGATTTTGGGCCTTACAAAAATAAAATGAATTGTAAAAATCAGCGTTGGTGATGCCGAGTTATTTATAGACATTCTATAAATATAATCCAACAGAGTTACAGTGAGTGGAAAAAGTTGCTTTGACTTTATTGATTAAATCCACTTTCTTAGAGTAAAGTTGCTGCCCCGAGGGTCCTCATCTCTACTTCCTCTTTCCCTCATCTGTCCCTCATCGACCTCTCATCCCCCCTTCATTTGCCCTTCATATTCACCTCATCTGCCCCTCATCCTCCACTCACCCTCCCCTCATCCTCCCCTCATCCTCCCCTCATCGACCTCTCATCCCCCCTTCATCTGCCCTTCATATTCACCTCATCTGCCCCTCATCCTCCACTCACCCTCCCCTCATCTGCCCCTTGTCCTCTCCTCATCTGCCCCTCATCCTCCCCTCATCTGCCCCTCATCCTCCCCTCATCTGTCCCTCATCCTCCCCTCACCCTCCCCTCATCTGCCCCTCCTCCTCCCCTCATCTGCCTCTTTCACATCATGTACAGAGTGTTTTGCCTCTGTCACATCTTCAGATCAGAGAAAAGTGAATCAGGATCACCCTCACTCAGCATCAGCTCTCATGCCTAATAGCCAAACGGGAATACACAACTATACAACAACACAACAACACAACGACACAACTACACAACAACACAACTACACAACCAGCGCTTTTTGGAGAAAAGTCTCAAACGTCTTTTTACTACATCTCCTGAATTGTTCAAAAACCAAACTCATCAAATGTGCATAGTGTATAATCTTGTTTTTCAGATACTTTCTGATCCATTCATACATATCCCATATCAACCCATTAGATCCATGTGATCAGCCTGATAGACCAGCTGTAAGCTAGCACCTGTGGAGTTAGCCCCAGGAAGCGCCCATCAGCATCACGTCAGTAAAAAGTCGTACGCACAAGCCCCTGTAGACGAGCGACCATCTCCACAGAAACAAAGGTGAGTTTTTCAGCAGTCGTCTGCTTCGCTGCTAATGCCCGCTGGAATGTCAGAGGCCACGGCTGCGTCTGAGTGGAGCGCTGTCACATGTGGGTCAGAGAGTCGTGGGACCCTCAGGGCGTACCAGCGCGGGACAGGCCCAAGCTAATCTGTGTCACCCAAAGGTCCCGGGACGTCCCAGGACTCTGCACCCGGATGCACGAGTAATACTTTTTCAAATTGTTTTCAAATAAAGTCACTGCATATTTTTTGTTTGTATAATACATACAATTGGGTTATTTAGTGTACATTTTTTGATGTAATTTCACAACATACATATGCATATAAAGTTTATTCACTAAAGTCACTCATAAATAAGCCAACATTAAAACTGCATTTTTTCAATTCCACAAAGTTATAAGCAGAGTTCAGCAAACGCTCCTTGTTACTTGTCGTTAGCGTGATACATATATGAAGACACAAGCGCAGTAAATTGTTACGTCTTTGATTGACATTCGGCTCAAGCACAGCTGGTATCGGCCCCTGGTGTCGGGGCCGTGTAGATGCATCCCTGGATCCTCTCGCCTGAGAAAGTCCACATCTATAGTTTTCCCTTGTCGCTGTCGCAGTTTTTATCACAATCCCATGAGTTTTAGAGCCAGGGCCGAGTGATTTTATCACAAAGTTAGGAACCTCAGCTTTAATGTGTAGAAAGCTTCTTGTCTCACGACAGAGAGATCACAAGTTCCTGAATAAAACCAGTGAAAATATCTCCATTTGATTGTCCCCTTTAAATGTCTGTCTCACACATCCCCGGGCAGGAGCCGGCTGCTCCCTCCCTCCTTCCCACTTTTCTTACTTTGCTAGAGTTAGAGATTTTGTTTTATTTTGATTAGTAGAGTTATTGTTCACTTATCTTGTGATGAGTGCTCCTCTTTCCTACAGTTCTGAAACATGTGATGCAACAGTGAAATTTCCCCGCTGTGGGACGAATAAAGGATTTCTTAATCTTAATCTTAGAAACTCAATATTCAAGTTTCAAATACATTTTTAAATGTTCCTTCCAAGCTGATCATAAAAGTCTTAGAAGCTGACATCAGAACATCAGAACATCATCATTGCTGCTTCTGGACACAGCTTCATTAAGTGTCCAAAGAAGCACTTCAAAAGTACGATGTATTACTACTGTTATTACAAGTTGCTCTTCTTGAACTCTGGTTTCCCCTCATTTTGCACAATTCATCTAAATTACAGCGACAGAAGAAGTCCTCGGAGGTGACCTCTAGAGTGACCTGTGGAGGTGGGCCCCGGGCGCTGCACTGGGTCTAAAGCAGGGGACACGTTTCCCTCCGGGGACAGTAAGACAGAACCTCAGCCTTTTAATAGATGCTTAGAGAGCAGTTTCAGTGACAGACTGATCCACCTCACTGTGTGAGGTAACGCAGATCTTTCCTTCCTGCAGCTGTCAGACTGTACAACAAACAATGAGGACTAACGAACACTGTCGACCTGACCTCACATGTCGTGTGCAATAACTAATGTCAGAATGTGCAATAACCACACGTGTCACTGTCACTTTACTGAGTCACTTAGGCCCTGTCCACATGAAGTCAAGCTCAGGCCTAAACGCAAAAATACTTTATCAATCCAGTGTATCGTCCATACGAGGCCGGCGTTTTGGGGGGGTGTAAACGAACATTTTTGAAAGTAGGTCCCAGAGTGGAAAGATTTCAAAACTCCGTATATGCCGCTCCGTGGTTACTGCCTCTCCGCAATGTATCTGAGACGCTTGCGTCATCGCCCCGCCTCTTGTTAAAGCACGCATGCGCCGCACTCAGAAAATAATGACAACAACAATGTAGCTTGTTGGTTTTGTAATCCAGTGTGACCCGAAGCAACAGTTCGACCTCATCGTCCGTCCATACTAATGTAGTATCAGCTCGCCCACTCGCCATGTCGTCTGTTTACAAAATTCTGCGCATGCCCAGTTCCCGTCACGGAAGTTTGGGCTTGATCCCGTCATTGCGTCACAGCGCCACCAACAGGTCTGGCATAGTTTAACAGCGTTTTCAGGCGTATTGACTACATTCATATGGACGCACACATTTACTGAGCTAACTCAGTTTTTACAGAAAAAGTTTCTGAAATTATAAGCGTTTTGTCTTCGTGTGGATATAGCCTTAGTCCTATGTGTGTATCTGTGTGTATCTGTGTGTATCTGTGTGTACCTGTGTGTATCTGTGTGTATCTGTGTCAGAAATCTAGTAATACTGGACTCAGACTTAAATTTGAATAGCCACATCAAATCAGTAACATCAGCAGCTTTTTACCATCTAAAAAACATTGCCAGGATCAAAAACATAGTGTCTAAAGCAGACTTGGAGATTCTTATCCATGCATTTGTCTCCAGTAGGTTAGACTACTGCAATGGCCTGCTCACAGGTCTCTCCAAACAGGCTGTAAAACAGCTGCAGTACATTCAAAATGCAGCAGCTCGAGTCCTGACTAGAACCAGGAAGTACGACCACATTAGTCCGGTCCTCAGGTCTCTGCACTGGCTTCCTGTGGCTCAGAGAATAGACTTTAAAACAGCTCTGCTTGTGTACAAGTCTCTCCATGGCCTCGCACCAAACTATATTAGTGACATGTTAGTCCCATATGAACCAGCCCGGACTCTGAGGAGCACAGGGACTGGACTCCTGTTAGTGTCCAGAGCCAGGACTAAACATGGGGAGGCTGCTTTTCAGATTCATGCTGCTAAATTCTGGAACAATCTTCCTGAAGATGTGAGACAGGCCTCCTCTCTGACAATGTTTAAAACCAGGTTAAAAACAGTTCTGTTTAGCTGTGCTACAACTGAGGGATTTTATATTTTTATCTTTCTTTTTAATGTTCTGTGATTATTTATGATTTTAATGCTTTCTTGTTCAGCACTTTGAGTTGCCTTGTGTATGAATTGTGCTATACAAATAAACTTGCCTTGCCTTGCCTTATCTGTGTGTACTTGTGTGTACCTGCGTGTATCTGTGTGTATCTGTGTGTACCTGTGTGTACCTGTGTGTACCTGTGTGTATCTGTGTGTATCTGTGTGTACCTGTGTGTATCTGTGTGTACCTGTGTGTACCTGTGTGTATCTGTGTGTACCTGTGTGTACCTGTGTGTATCTGTGTGTACCTGTGTGTATCTGTGTGTATCTGTGTGTATCTGTGTGTACCCGTGTGTACCTGTATGTATCTATGTGTACCTGTGTGTACCTGTGTGTATCTATGTGTACCTGTGTGTATCTATGTGTACCTCTGTGTATCTATTACGTACTTACTTACTAATTCATCTTGTGCTCCTCATTCCTACTGTTCTGGTGATGCAACACTGACATTTCCCTGCTGTGGGACCAATAAAGGAGCTCTTCATCTTGAGCAGACTCGCCTTCTCTCAGAGGCAGCTTTCTTGTGGATCTCAGGGGTCATTATTAGGACGCAGTTTGAAGTATTTGGGTTCAAGCTCCCTCCAAAGTCTTTTAACTCGGGCTCAGTCCCTGCAGCAGCTGTCGGACCACAATGCACCTCTGTGACGGAGAGGCTGCGTCACGCTCGGACATGTGTGATGGAGGGGAGCGGCGTGAAGCGGACGGCCAGCGGTTTGTCCAGAGACGGTTATTGGGCTGAATGTCTCCAACCTAATTTATAGCTCTGGGTTCGATTCCTCTTCCAGGGCTTTCTGAGTGGAGTCTGCATGTTATCACTGTTTCTGCGTAGGTTTCCTCCAGGTGCTCCGGTTTCCCCTCCCACTAAAAACATGTACAACAGGTCTGACAAGCGTATCCTATGTGGCGACCCCACTCCCCTCTCAGTTTGGAGTGAGAGAAAGAAAGTATGTAAGTAATCTTTATATATAGGGCATTTTTTCTTTGCAATGTCCATAGTTCATATATTTTTTCATTCCCTCCACACGGTGATGACGGAAGCAAGACGCTGAACACATTGGTGCATTGAAGCCCCCAACAATCACCATTCATTCACTCACTCATTACATTCAGACCTATTGTACTTGGTTTTAGTGATAGGGGAAACCGGAGCACCCGGAGGAAACCTGCGCAGACACAGGGGAGAACATGGGAGAACTCCACTCAGAAAGGCCCTGTTCCAACCGGGATTCGAACCTAATGTAAAGTACTTTGTGACTCTGTTCTGTGAAAGACCCTATATGAATAAATACTTACTTACTTACTGCCCTAAATTACATCAGAAGTCGTCTCAGAAGATTTGACAAACTTTTCAATTCGATCAACCACACATCAGAGAATCACAGTCCATTGTCTTCTCTTTAATCCATTTCTGAGTTCGAGGGAATCACAGTAAACACAGTAAATCCAATAATAACAAACACATTGGAGCCATTGGTCCGTAGGGAGCAGGACGACCTAAAGAAGTCTGCTCCTAAAATGACTAAGGATCATTGCGGTCCTTAGACCCGCCTGCATCGAAACCACTAACAATGTCAATGTCAATGACACATTTATTTCTATGGCACATTTACAACAACAAACACTGCCCAAAGTGCTGCAGAGTAAAACATATTACACATCTAATATCTAATCAACAGATCAACAGATATTCCAACAGTGGAACGCCGCTTAGTTGTCAAAGGCCTGAGTAAAAAGTATTTAATAAACACATTTTAGACAATAGGCAAAGGAAGGCTGTTCCAGAGTTTAGGAGCAGCTACAGAGAAGGCCTGGTCACCTCTCGTTTTCAGCTCTGATTTTGGTAAGAATCCTCGAGTCCGGAGGCGATAGAGATGTCTGTAGATCAAGCTATTCTTTCTGTATTTGGAGGATTTAACACCAGAATAAGAAAAAAGTTTGATCCGGGGATAAAATAGAGATTGAAAAATGGTGGAACATGGTACAAAACTCAAGAAACACTATTTTGCTTAAAGGAGCTGTATGTAAAAAATCTGGCTAAAAGTGGTACTGCAGCCTCTCCCACTCTCTCTGACTCAGGTTGCCAGATATGCAGACGAATCCAGCTGGGACCATAACAGCTGAATAGACAAGAGTTTTGTCAACAACAAATCTATAACCAACACCTTTTTCACAAATTCCTTGTTTTTTTATTAATCCTTTGAGCTGCAGCCACTTGGTACTTTGCCAGTGAGATTAGCTCAACGCGGTTAGTTCTGGCGCCCGGATCACAGACTTTCTGATTGGTGAAATGGTGGCGGGCGGGACATCGAAATGAAAACACAAGATTTAGAAATCCAAATATCTCTGAACTAAAGTTATCAGTGAAATAAGTATTGGAAAAGAACATGGTTTAATTAATGCCTTTTGACAGATTAGGGCCCTTTAATGATGACAGATTAGGGCCCTTTAATGATGACAGATTAGTGCCCTTTAATGATGCCTTGACATAAAAATCTTACATATGGCTACTTTAAGGCGTCTTTCTCCTGCACTTTGGTCACTTCCCTAAACTAAAGCACTAAACAATAGCCAGTCTGTGAGGGTTTTCGTAGATCTGGGAGATAAGCAGAGAATGCAGGTACATTTATGGCCCCTGCCCCCTCTGCCTGCACCACGGGGCCCCTCCCTCAGCCCGGGGCCCCTCCCTCAGCGCGGTGGGCAGATGATGTTTCACTGGGGCCATTAGCTCCACCGCTCTGCTGCTACCTGTCCCGTCTTCAGTCTGTCTCCGTACTGTAATTACACTAACGCCCGGGGCCCCTGACGACCACACATTCTTACGGGACAGTAAAAGAGACGGCGATAATGGCTTCAAACACAGACACACGGTCAGGGTTTTGAACAGATTTCAGTAAATAAACGATTGACACCGTTTTCACTCATTTTAAGTGTTTTTTTAAAGCTGTTTATGGATCAAAAGTCCCCATCCCCCCAGTTCTCAGGCGTGTGTATTTCCCCTTTAACATCTAAATCAATTACATGTATTTGTGTATTGCCCTAAATCTCAGCAGCAGTCGTCTCGGAGGACTTTGCAAAGCGAACATTTTTTGCATTGATGGATGTTTAACATATATTATATTGTAATTAACATATCCATCCTGATTCTGGACATTTAAGGACATTTATTAACATTTCTGGACATTGGTCATCTCACTCCAAAGAGACCAATAGTTCCTCTGAGTTTGAGTCTCTGATCTGTTGCTGAGTCCTCTGAGACGGCAGCTGTTGAGATTTAGATAGATTTAGATGAATTGAGTTCATTTATAGACAATACGTCTTTTCTTTGAGAGATTTTTCCTCTGACTCCACCGGGATGGAAGCCAAACTTGGCCCATACCTGATTTATTTATTTCATTTATTGATTTATTTCAGGCTTCACAGCTCCTTTAACCAAGCTCTAACCACCGTGCGCCGCGTAGCCTATAATAACACTGATATGTTATTGGACACGTCACATTTTAGAATTCGTTAATATTGCTGCTTAAATACGTTTTGAGTGTCCAAACATTTGTAGATCTGATTCGTCTGGGTTCAGGCTGAGTTTTAAACTGAGGTATGATGACATGTTGGATTAGATTAGATTCATCTTTACTGTCATTACAGAGTCAGAACAAAGCAAATGCAGATGCTGTTCAGCCTCTAACCAGTAGTGCCAACGCAAAGGTATACAACAATATATACAACACAGGTAAATATGCAAGGGATAATGTAAAGTAGGCAGGTCATTATCGGAAAATAAGAACCGACAGGGCGAAGCGGACCCCGACACACAGCGGAGGGGTCTACTATACATTACCTACTATCAATTATCCTGCTTATTATACGGCTTTGTACCAACAGAACACACAACATAAACTTCAGTCCACTTTTAGGAATGCCGAAAGGTTTATTTAATGACAGAAAATAGAATAGTTCCCAAAGGTCTTCCCGTGGCTATGCTAGCAACAGTTAGGCCGGCAACTTCCAGACTAGAACTCTCTGGAACTGCATGAAAACTGAACAAGTATTCTGAACATCAGCGGTGAGTGACTCAAACATGAACTCAACTTAAATCCTTAATTCGATCCTCTGCAAATGTTCCTAAAATGTCCCGGATTCGACTTCCGGTTTTTTCGCGATCGCATTAAAACAGTATTTTTGTCATGAAAACCGGTAACAGACACTTAATAAAACAATAAATCATATCATATCTAACTAACTCAGAGTGTGTCGACAGCGAGGTAAAGGCAGGTCTGCAAGAGGAGCTGAAGGTGGCTGGATGACACCGAGCTCACTGGTACTTTGGGCTAGTAAGACAGTGGGCCACATGATATGAAACGGAGGCCGAGATTGGTTCGTGGGCCGGACTTTGGACATGCCTGCTCTAAGGTGACAAAATATTACACTGCTGCGTGTGTTCTGGTAAAAAGTTATCGAGCAGCACTAAATAAAAACTTATTTTTTTATATGGGTTAAAAACGATAAGGACAAACCACTCCGAACAAGAGAAAACATGGACCAGACCTGCCACATGGTTTAACACTGGTTAGAAAAACAATTATATATGAAAGTTCCAACCTTCCCTCTTGTTAAGACCCCAGACTGTCATCATTCCAGACAATGTTTAGCAAAGCTTCTTCTAACTGTTTAAAGCTAGGGTACCTCACTTTTACAAATCACTAGATGGAATCCTTTAAAACAATCTGTGTCTCTAGTTCCTGGCTCTACAACACTTTGCTTCTATCTCTAGTTTTCACTCCGCTCTCAGTCAAAATCGACTCTGAAATTCCAAAAAGTAGGGATGAAAACAATCTGGGCTTATTGGTTCACAACTTTCATTTTACTGCCACAAGACTCTTTCTCTGGACCCAAACAGCACAAGTCATTTATAAAGCAAACAAATTAGGGACCCGAGCTTTAATCCCATCGACTCTTTGGTACAGTGATCTCCCGTGTTATTATCCCAGTCAGATCAAAATCGTTATGACAGCATCTGCATAAGAATATATCCTCCTCCAGCAGCTCGCGCACCACCGGGTCCGTGTGAGTACCTTCGAAGTCCGAGAGGATCCCCTCCAGATGGTCGTTCACCGAGAGCCCCGACATGATGGGCCCCTGAGAGCCTGTGCGCGGTGGAGAGAGCGGCGAGACTGACGAGACTGAAGCAGCGCGAGTGGAAGTCCGTGTGTGTGCGTGTGCGTGCGTGTGTGTGCGTGTATGACTGTGTGTGTGTGTGGATGGGCCCTGCCCCCTCAGAGACCCTCGTGCACCAGTCTTCACACGTGCAGCTGCAGCACCAAGACCGCGCGGTCAAGGCCCTTTGATCACACGTCTCCGTCTAGCATAGAGAAACAAAAATTCATTCGAACCCAACATTTCATTACATCAGTCTACAATTCTTCATCTTTGGTCCAGGTTTGGTTCAAACAAACATGAAAATAATCCTGAAGTCGTGGTCTCTGAAGTACAGGTCGGTCTGAACTGCTGTACCCCAGTGCACACAATATACAGTATATATGCAATAAAAGCAGGTCTTTAATAGGTCTAGGAGGGTGACTGTGACCGGACTTCAGGAACGTGGGTTGTAAAGACAGTTTTGACTGGATTCGTGCTGTTCTAGGCTCGAAAATGGGGTATGATACGTCCATTTTTATTCTGATTCAGCTTATTTACCATTTGCAGTAGAACCACATTGGAATACATGTGCAAATGCCAAGTACATAAATAAAAATAAGAAGTCCAATTGTACAGAAATTGTCTCTGTGAAACCAACCAATGACAGCTTCAATGACAAGTGCAAGATCATTAAAGTGCACCACAGCTTCATTCTTACATGAAATATTCTGACCCAGCAAAAGCATATGTCAGTTTATGCAAATAATCTATTGGATTCCGAAGAATCTGAGCTTTAGAATCCAATAAAGTCACAGCATGACTTTTTTTGGTGGAGCTAAAGTTGGCTAGATGACACAGCAGGCCGCATCTGGCCCATTTTTAATTTAAGTGGCTCTAAAACACGTAAAGATCTTTTACTGTGCAAACCCCGGAGCTGCCCCGTCTCGAAAATCAGAAATGTTACAAGACAACAACAAGGAACGAGGTAATTGAAAGAAATTGGATGCAACCAAGTCTCCCAAATGCGGTCCTCTCAGTGCAGCCCTCTATGTGCAGCTCCAGTTCTGCAGTGTTACCTGAGACACAGAGCCGCTCAGGGCGAGGGGGAGGGGCCTCAGCAGCACCTGGCAGAAAGAAAGAAAATGTTGTTTTCTGATTTTTCCCGGCACCAGCTCCCGTCTGGGGAAGGGTGACACTGTAACTTTGAACTGAGGTACACCATTTTCGAAAATATGAAATAAAATCAACAAGTTCCTCGCTTTTTACATTCAGCTGTTTGTTCTCTGTCCCTGCGTCAGATCAACAAGAGAGGACCGCCTTTACTCAGCCAATCATTATGTGAGATTTCATAACACTTTGAAGCAACTTTTGTTAAAGTTAAACTCATCATTCTATCAATGTGCAGAAGCCAGTACTTTCCCCTTGTTTTGTCTATCTGAAGGCCAAGCTACATGGCACCGTGGCAGCTGCTGATTGGAGGTCTCCATGCCTCCGCTCTGTATAATACACTTGCATTCTGTTGTATCTGTTGTTCGTGCTGTCTCTACCATCGACAATAAAACATGTCTTCTGTCTGAATTTATGACACGATCCCAGACTTGGCTCATCTTCTTCAATTATGGTGCCTTCAGACCGCAAACGCTGAAACGCTGAAGCCCCGCTCACCAGACGCGCATTCTCTAGTTTTCAGACGCAGAGGACTTCACACCAGAACGTCCTGACGCGCACCGGAAGTAGCCAGCCGGCTCTAATGCTAACAGAGCTATGCTAGCAGCTTCTTGTGTACAGATCTTCTCCAATATGCAGCTTTGCAGCGTGTCTTTGCCCAGAGACCTTCCACAGGCTTTATACAACAGTAGTATGTGTTCACGGAGGTGCGCCATACGTTTTTTTGTATTATTAAACGGTATTTCCGCATCGGCGAACACACTCGAAGCAGTTGCATAAGGTCACGGGAGCATGACAACGCATACAGTGGGGCAAAAAAGTACTTAGTCAGCCACCGATTGTGAAAGTTCTCCCACTTAAAATAAAAACAGAGGTCTGTAAGTAAGTAAGTAAGTTAGTAAGTAAGTAAGTTTTTATTTATATACCGCCTTTTCACTGCAGATCTGAGTCTCAAAGCGGTTTACAATTGTTAATTTTGGGCATTTGTCTCTCACTCCACACAGAGATGGGTCTGTAATTTTCATCATAGGTTCACTTCAACTGTGAGAGACAGAATGTGAAAGAAAATCCAGGAATTCACATTGTAGAATTTTTAAAGATTTTATTTGTAAATTATGGAGGAAAATAAGTATTTGGTCACTTCAAACTCTCTGGCTCTCACAGACCTCTAACTTCTTCTTTAAGAAGCTCTTCTGTCCTCCACTCGTTACCTGTATTAATGGCACCTGTTTGAACTGGTTATCTGTATAAAAGACACCTGTCCACAGCCTCAAACAGTCAGACTCCAAACTCCACTATGGACAAGACCAAGGGAGGGAGTTGAAAGTCTGTGTTCACTGCTCTTGAGAAGATCTGCATGGAGGAATGGGCCAAAATACCAGCTGCTGTGTGTTCAAACCTGGTAAACCTCTATAGTAATTGTTTGACCTCTGTTATTGCCAACAAAGGTTATATTACAAAGTATTGAGTTGAATTTTTGATATTGACCAAATACTTATTTTCCACCATAATTTACAAATAAATTCTTTAAAAATCCTACAATGTGAATTCCTGGATTTTTTCCCCACATTCTGTCGCTCACAGTTGAAGTGAACCTATGATGAACATTACAGACCTCTGTCATTATATTAAGTGGGAGAACTTTGGTGGCTGACTAAATACTTTTTTGCCCCACTGTATATTCACAAGCACAGAGTCCCCCATTGTCAACCCTGGTTTAGTCCTGGTTTAGTTCTGGTTTAGTCCTGATGTATGGCGCCAGATTTACGCCAAAAGTCCACACGCTCAAATAACACATACACGCGCAGCTTTATTTAATTCACACGCGCGCAAACTACTCTCCACGCGCTAAAGAAGGAAGAACACTGGAACAGACTTTGTGTTTGTGTCCTACATTATCTAATAATCAAAAAGTCCAGTCCATAAGTAATCACTAGGTTTCATGATGTCGCTAGATGTAGTTATCATGATCAGTCAAGTTAAAGCAAGCTCAAACAGCTAAAATGCTAACCAGCAGTTAGCATTTTAGCTGTTTTGCTAAGTTAGCTAAGGAGGCTCCTTCGTTTTAGTCTGAGGAGAAAGAGCTGTTCATGATTTAGCCTGTGTAGCCTTCTAGTCACAACAAAAGCACATAAATACTTTAGTGCTAAAGTATTCAGCTCTAAAACCACGAAGTGTGTGGTGTTTTTCCTTGATTACAACAACTGGAGAACAAAAGTGATCAACCTGTATACCACTAAAAAGGCAATAATAACTAAGCTAATGTTGCTTTTTTCCTTTATCAGGAGAACCATAGTCTGTGCCTTGCATCTGTGGAGAGGACTGCTGAGCTGAATGCATGGATAGACGTGATGTGGATTTATGTTTTCTTTTATTTTGTGCAGAGCTACTAGTAAAAGTCATCCAGTGGTCCTTGTGTCGTGGTCCTTCTTCAGACAGCGCAGAACATGGAACACAACGCAGATTACACTAATAAAGGGGTTAACGGGTGTGCACCAGGTCAAGACTATAATTGAACAATAAAAACAAGTTACAACGGTGCCCACACCCGTTACAAGTCCATACTCTGCCATACAAGAACAGTTCAGGGTAAGGATGTCCCCCAAGTCTTTGTGGCCATAGTTACTCCCAGGCATCATAAGGCTTTGACTTAATGCCCACTCTCTGACTGGGGAGCACATCTGCCCTCAAAACACGGAACTCAGTACCAGAGTCAAAGTATTTCACATTCTTTACATAACACATCATTGTCTGCATCGATAGATTTATATGATTTAGGTTCTCTTTTGTATAGACACTGGGGGCCTGAGTGAGGTAATTATAGATATTAGGCCAGGTAACTGATGGCCATTTTCTCCTATCGACAACCCACTGTTCTGTGAGAATAGTATTATTATTAGTGCTGTCCAAAATATCGCGTTATTAACGCGTTAACGCAAATCAATATTAACGGCGTCATTTTTTTTATTGCGCGTTTTTTTTTTTTTTTTTTACTTTTTATTGCAGACAAACACATATACAGAAAAAAAATAGAAACAAAGAAAAGGACTAGTTCAGATACATTGTAGACAGAGATTACAAACAATATGTAGTTGGAGATACAGGGGGCCAAAGAAGAAACCCAGAAGGGCACATAGGAGGGGGGGGGGGGGGGGGCATGAAGTGGGAGATGGGGGGGAGGGGTTAATAAAAAAGGCAATACAAGCAAACAGTATACAGTCATAGATATACCGAAAGTAAACAGAGAAACAGCATAGAGTATTTACATGAACAAATTTACAGATTGTTTATCATCATCATAATGACACCATGATGTTTCTATGATCTATACCCACACATACACACACACACCCATAAACACACACACTCCACACACACACACACATACACCCCACAGATAAGATAAGATATAAAGTCTGCCGGCCTGAGTTTCACCAAGCTAAGCGGAACCCAGCCAACATCAAAACCAAATCCGACACACACACAGACCCCCAAGCAGGCCCCCACCCCAAAAAGGGGGGAGGGAGCCCACGCCCGGCCCATTCCCTCTCTTATTTTGTTCCTTTTTCCCAAGTGTTTTTCTTAACTAAACGTGTCATGCATTAAAATAAGCTTTCGCTTACCCTGACTTGTGTATTATCATTATATGCACATATGCACATATTATTCATGTTATTATTATATTTATCTACTTATTCATTCATTTTTTATTTTATTTTATTATTATTATTAATTTTATTTTATTATTTTTATTTTATTTTAATTAATTCAAGGGACATAAAGAATAGATACAAATGTGTGACTAATTTGCGATTAATCGCGAGTTAACTATGAAATTCATGCGATTAATCGCGATTAAATATTTTAATCGTTGGACAGCACTAATTATTATTACATGTTTATTTGACAGGCACAGAACAAAAAGTATTGTTACAGGTAACCAATGCCATGTTCATAGGCCGTATAGAAAACAGATAATTGGCAGTCGCTAAGGCATAAAAATATTAGAGATTTCAGTTCAGCAGGTAAAATGTTCCAGAGCTGTGGCTCTTCGACTGCAAACGAAGTCTGACCAAATGATGTTTTACATCTTGCCGGTCTGCAGTGTGTATGGATCAGGAACTGGTGCCCATCGCAGAGGACCAATTTATGAAGATAACCTGCACCATCAGAACTATTCAGGGGTTCTGTGTAGTGTGTAGAGATGATAGCCATCCTAAACGAGCAAACACAATACGGATACAGAAGCCAATTATGACAGGTTGAAACAGCTTAGCCCCAATTTTAAGTTCATTTTAATAAAAATACATGAAATCAAATGAAGTTTACTACTATTTAGCAATGTTAACAATTCAGATAGCTCATTTGTTTCAAAACTTTGTATACACATTTTTGATATTTTGGTTTATGGACTGACAGATTTATTGCTAGTTAGCATAGACTCATTAGGTCAAACCGCTATAATTATGCAAATAAAAAGCAAACAAATAACTCAGACGGTTTTATTAAACTTTGATAACGGTCCTGACATGATTCTGACAAAGCATTCAGTGTAAACAACGTACAGCGATGACAAAGGTCCCGGGATGTAGCTGGCTAGCCTTGCGGAAACATAGGCTGATGACGTTATTAGGAGAGAATATTCAACATTTACGAACTAAACACGTCCTGGTGTAAGCCTATAGGGTGTCCACAACAGTGTACATGCCACGTTAAAGACTACAATAGCCCAGTTAGGGTTAGAAAAAATATATACAGTCTATGGATTAATCATATGCTTTCCATGCATAAGCATTCCATCTCCAAGCTGCAGTGTGCTGTTTACCTTTCACTGGCCCCGCCCCCAAGCGACAAAAGTATTTCACGCGCGCGTAGAAGAGATGGCAAAAGTGTTCAACACGCGCAGAACACAGACCACGAGAAGGAAGAGGGCAGGTCACGAGCGCGCACACGTGCG